AGCAGGGAGCCCGATGTGGGGCTTGATCCCAGGACCCTGGGATCATGACCTGAGCCGAAGGCAGACGCTTAACCGACTGAGCCACCCAGGCGCCCCTATGTACTGAATGTTTATGTCCTCCCAAAATTCATATGCTGAAGCCCTAAGCCCCAAAGTGATGGTATGATAAGGTAGGGCCTTTGGGAGGTAATTAGACTTAGAGGGAGTCATAAGGGTGGAGCTCTCATGAATGGGATTAGTGCCCTCAAAATGAGTCATGAAAGAGCTGGCTTGCTATGCTCTGCAAGTGGGTAGCTTGCAACATGGAAGAGGTCCTTACCAGAAACCAATCAGGCTGGTACCCTGATCTTGGACTTCCAGTCACCAGAACTATGAAGAATAAATTTCTGTTTACAAGCCACCCAGTTTATGGTATTTTGTTATAACAGCCTGAAGTGAGACACCGAGGTCATAAAGATTTTCTCCTTTTCTTCTAAAAGCTATATAGTTTTAGCTTTTTTTTTTTTTCAGTTTTAGCTTTCTCATTTAGGTCTATGATCCTATGTTTCCTTCATAATATCCTGCAATTTCTTTTTCTTTTTTTTTTAAGATTTTATTTATTTATTTCTCAGAGAGAGAGAGAGAGAGCACAAGCAGGGGGAGCGGCAGGCTGAGGGAGAAGCAGGTTCCTCGCTAAGCAGGGAGCCCAATGCGGGGCTTGATCCCAGGACCTTGGGATCATGACCTGAGCTGAAGGCAGACGTTTAACTGACTGAGCCACCCAGGCATGCCTATCCTGCAATTTCTATCCAATCACTCCCTTTAATCTTCATTCTTGAATATCAACAGCGACCTAGTTGCCAAATCCAATGATCTTTCCTCAATTTTCATCTACAGCTTTTGTCAAAATATTAGATAGATGATGAAATAATTGCAAAAAAAACCTGAGTAAAATAATTGCAAAAGTGCAAGGGGGCAGATCTGAACCTCTCAGGACATAATGTTTAAGGTGACCACTCACAGTACCTTGACATACAGGGTACTTGATTACACACTTGTTGAATTGGTACTCAATTCTTATGCTGACCCAGGGATTTATACACAATCTTTGTGAAGACTACAGTACATTAAGTACACTAAGAGATCCAAACTGAATTGTATTTCCAGGCTTACATGTGAACAAACCTACGCCTCTCAATGAACCAGAGATTCTTAGGGATCCAACAGACTGAGAATAACCCAGGGCCAAGCTGAACTTTAAGGGCAGGTCTCAAAGTATTGAGTTTCACAGGCTAAGCATGTCTAGTCTAGTCTAGTCTAGAATCAGACTAGAGCCAGATCTGCTCTAAAAGGTGCAGGAGTGGGGAAAGGGTTAGATTTATCTAACAACTAGATGAGCTATAATTTGGTTAGATATGGTATTAGGTAAAGAAAGACAAAGCGATGTTTTCTTGTTTTAATATGGCAAGGTCTTATGCATGTTTACAGACTGTAGAGAATGAGCCAGAAGGGAATGAAGCTGAAAATGAGAAAGAGGCAGAGAGAGAGAGAAAGAATATTGGTGAAGCAAGGTCACAAGAGAAGATGGGATCCAGAGCCCTCTAGGGAAACCAAATTCTCTGCAGAGTTGGAATTGAGTGAAGTTGAGGAGAGAATTTTCCCCTTTTACTTTTACACTCTGGTATCGGTCTAAATTTTAAGATAATGGGTGTTGACTATGTATTCATTTTATAATGGAAAAAATTTGAAAGAGCTCAGCAGAATTTGGTTTAGATAAGATACATAAGAAAAAAAAAACTGCTCAGCTCACATGATCTCCCCCTCCTGCTTTAGTCAGTACCTCTAGCTCATATATGCTAGTTTTCTTGTTTTGCAAAACTATGTTAATATCTCAAAGGCAAAAGTTATGGCTCATTTTGTATCTTACTGTAGCTCTTCATTTAGTGAACAGAAGATGTGTTCAATAAACATAAAAAAACACAGATTGGAAAGTGTGCTACAGATGACATTAACATAATCAAAAGATAGCTATTTTGATACATATGGGAACTTGTATATGATAAAGCATGCACTTCAAATCATTGAGGGAAATATAGGTAATTCAGTATATAGTAGTGTTGGGACAGTTCGATGTGCATCTGGGAAAAAGTAAAGTTGGGATTCACATCTTGTATTTTGTACCAAAATAAATTCCTGTGTAGAAAAAATCATGGGATTAAAAAAAAAAAGCTTGGGGTGAGGAATGTCTCTCTAAATATGACAAAAATGCAGAAGCACAGAGAAAAATATTGATCAATTTGACTTGAAAAAAATCTGCGTGGAAAAAATATCATAAACAAAGTCAAAACACAAATGACAAATGTGGAAATATCTGCAACTCATATCACAGACAAAGGACTATTTTCCTTAATAAAGAACTTTTTTTTTTTAAGATTTTATTTATTTGACAGAGAGAGAGTACAAGCAGGGGAAATGGCAAGCAGAGGGAGACGCAGAAGCAGACTCCATGCTGAGCAGGGAGCCCACTGCAGGGCTCAATCTCAGGACCTCAGGATCATGACCTGAGCTGAAGGCAGACACTTAACTGACTGAGCCACCCAAGTGCCCCAATAAAGAACTTTTTACAACTCAGTAAGAAAAAGACCAGTAACACAATAGAAAAATGAGCAAATGATGTGATATAAAAGAATTGTTCTTAAGTATATGAAAATGCTCAATTGCACTCAAAAGAAATTCAAATTAATACTACAAGATACCATTTTTAAATTATAAAATTGGCAAAGATCAACAAGTCTGAGAACAGTGTCTGTTGATGAGCATGTGGGGAAAACAGGTACCCTCACGTACTGCTGACAATTTATAAGGTTGGTGCAACCTTCATGGAAGTACTATGCATTGGTAAAATACATTCCACCTTCATCTCCTACCATTTTTCTCTTGCTCAATCTGTATTAGCCACATCTATGGCCTTGCTCCTCCTCAAGTAAGCCAAGCACACTCCAGCCCTGGGGGCCCACACCCCTACCTTTCTCTACTACTCATGAAATGCATATCGCTTTTTCCTTACCTCCTTCGAGTCTTTACTCAAATGTCCCACCTCTACAGTGAGGCATTCTCTGACTCCTGTCAAAAAAAGTGGCTTCCAACCCCTCCATTATTCTCTTTTTACCATGTTTTTAATTCCAAGCACTTATCATGTGATATTATTCTATGTATTTATGTTTATTGTCTGTCCTCTCCCACTAGATTGTAAACCTTGTAAAGGCAAGGACTTTGTTGTATATACTGCTACATACCCAGACTCCAGAATAACACAGGCTCAGCATGTAATAGGTGTTCATGAATGAATGGGTGAATGAACTTCTTTGGAGGACAAGTTAGCAATATCTATTAAAATTTAGAATAGACATACCCAGCAATTCCCTTCTCGGCATAACTTATAGTTTTATAAATGTGTAAAACAGAGAATGTATAAGGTTATTTGCTGTCACACTGTTTGTAATAGTAAAAGGAAAAACAACCTAAGGTCAACTTTTAAAACATACCATCTACATCTGTGCAATGGAATACTATGTAGATACAGAAGAATCTCTGATTCTGAAAATTTTTTTGCTACCTTTGGCAAATGTACATATGACACATGACCACTGTAAGCCCTGGTGATACTACTATAAGAATGATCCCTTTGGTTGGTGTCCTGGCCTTGACACAGTGTTGCGGTCCAGTAGAGCGAGCTCCGGAGGTGTCCGGGGGAATTCCAGTGTTTGCCGCCGTAACCTTATCAGCCCACCGAGATGGCAATGTAAGCGGCCAAGATGGTGAACGGGGAACACACCCGAAACTAGACGAACAGCTTTTGTGGTCTATGAAGACATCTTTGATGCCAAGAACGCATGTGATCACCTTTAAGGATTCAATGTTTGTAACAGATACCTGGTGGTTTTGTACTATAATGCCAACAGGGCATTTCAGAAGATGGACACAAAAAAGAAGGAAGAGCAATTGAAGCTTCTCAAGGAGAAATATGGCATCAACACAGATCCACCAAAATAAATGTTCTCTGTATTTTCATTTTAGACTAAAACCCATAAATGACCACCATCACCCTTCTCTTATTTTTAATTAATGCTGAATGTTGTAATTTCTTATTCGAGATTCAAAAGGACCTGCTTGAAACTTTGATACGTGTTAGAATATGTTATGTGAATAAATTTGTAACTTTTTGTAAAAAAAAAAAAAATGATCCCTTTCATGGGGCTTTTAATGGTAAAGAGAGTAGGGATGGAGAGGTAGAAAGACTGAATAATTTTTACAGTTTTATTTAGTATTAATTTCCTTACAGAAAACATAGAATATCTGCCAATTAATATTCTAATAAGAAGAAAGATGTATCTGTACACATATAACCTGGCTCAACAAAGATCTTCTCTTTGTAGATCCAAACTCATGAATAGGCCTAAACTGGCGATGCCTATTATTCATTCATTATGGCTAGATTTCCCATTTTACAAACAAACCTCCTTATTTATGGGAAGAGTTTCAGGGTTTCAGAATATCTTTAGTACAGGTTTCCTGATTCCTGGAGCTGCAGAATTCCCCTGCTGTCCATCAAATGACATCCACTTGCAGCTGCAGGGCATTCTGCAGGGCTACTCTCCTACTCCGGAGTTAAAATACATATATATACATATACTCCAGAGTTAAAGACAAAATGCACACAGGATAATCCCCTGGTAACCATACACGCCTTCCAATCTTACCAAACTATAATATGCTTACTGTCCCTCAAATAAAATGTTCTAATCCCTATCTCTATACCACTACCCATCCTCCCACCCCTTTCTTCTCCCAGCTTCTCTCATCTGGAATTCTATATAAACTTCTTTCCAAACACTACCATTTTGAGGGTCAGGCAAAGTCCCATCTCTCTACTAAAGGACAAAGTCTTCCCTGACTATTCTAACCCTATGTTCATCTAGGCTCTGATCCTCTTTAACTTTTATCAAGCATCTGGCTTTAATCTTTTTGCTGCCTAATTCTGTTAATTAGCTTTTCACAAGCTTTTGAGTTATCTTCCAATTAGATTGTAAGCTCCTTAAAGGCAGACTCCTATATTTTGGTTTTCGTATCTTCCTCATGCATCTACATAGTAGATACTCTACATGTCCTGGTTTTGAAAAGTAACCTGGTCAATCCAAACTTGACCCAACATGTACATTTAGTGTTCTTTACAGATTTTTCTAGAACCATGTTCATACATCCTTTGTATAGACATGGATTTTCTGCTAGCCCAATCCATTCTTTGAGTTTTTGATATCAGAACTCGTCAGCTGACTCTGTGTCCCAGCCACAAGACTGCAGTTGTTCGTCCTGTGGGAACTCAACTTCGATGTCATAAACGAAATTCGGATCATCCTTCTTCTTTTGATTTTTCTCAAAAAGTTCATCCATGATGCTCTTTCTCTTAGCAAGTTCCTTATCATCTAGTTTGTTCAGGTCTTCCTCAGGATCAATTGTTGTTTCCCGTTGAATTTGTTCCATTGTTTCTGCCAAACTCTGCCCCCACAAGTAACCTCGTAAAAAACTGAATAACTTCTCTAGCTGCCTCAGGGACACTTGTTCCAGGTAATTCTTGTGTCGTGGATTATTCTTTAATTGTTCAGCAGCTTTGTTGCAATCTAGGAGGGAAAAATGAAACTATATACCACACACAACAGATACACTGCAAACTACTGAAAGCATTATCTGCTATGAGAGCCAAGTAGCTAAGTGGCTTTTTCAGAATTAATTATTTTGCAGAACTATTATTCCTTTATATCGAGCTTTGAGTGTGGTGGGGGAAGGAGGGATGCATTTTTTATTTCCTTAACTTAAAATCACTTTGAGGAGATGTTAAACACTTGCAACTGGAGAAAACATCCGAGATGAAAAGGATTTATTAGTTTTATTTTTTTATTTTTTTTTTTAAAGATTTTATTTATTTATTGAGAGAGAGAGAGAGAGAGAGGCAGAGGGAGAAGCAGGCTCCCAAGGAGCAGGGAGCCCGATGCGGGACTCGATCCCAGGACCCTGGGATCATGACCTGAGCCGAAGGCAGACGCTTAACCATCTGAGCCACCCAGGCGCCCCTAGTTTTAGATATTAGTACTGGTACTAAGAAAAAATCAAGACTACAAATAAAAAACACATTTGGAGGGAGAGAAGGGATTCAGTATGATTGAATAATGCTATCTCATTTAACCCATATTACAATTCGGAAAGGGTGGGATTATCAATTTCCATTTACAGATCAGGAAATTGAAGCTCACTGACAATAAGTAATTTAGCTGGGGCTCACCTATCTACCCTGATAGTCATGATTTGAACCTAGGACTGTCTAACTCTGAAAGCCATGCCACTCTGTTATGAGACTGAAATTATTCTTATTAAGTGATTTAGAGAACATTTAAGATAGGAGGCAAGATAAAACATGAGGTACCTGAAAACTTCGAAAAGTTTCGGACTGGCATGATGCGTTGGCGACTTTTCCCCTTCATTTCATTCTCATAGATTAAGATAATAGCTGGAGGCTGGAACCTAATTCCACATTTCTTGGCAGTGCACATCATTCTTACATACACTTCAGGGTAAATCGGAGGAAATCTGATGAAAATGTGTTAGTCACATAATGACTTCCTGTTAAAGGGGAAAAAAATATGTGTTGGATAAATCACACTCCCCAGTACCCCTCCTCCCCAGCAGATCTGGCTCTAGTCCAGTTCTAGAGTTGCATGCTCAGCCTGTCAATTTCAATACTTTGAGACCTACCCTGAAAGTTCAGTTTGGCCCTGGGGTTATCCTTAGTTGTTGGATCCCTGGTTCATTGAGGCGTGTAGGTTTGTTCACACATGAGCCTGGAAATGCAGTTCAGTCTGGACCTCTCAGTGTACTGCACTCTTAACCAAAGATATGTATCTGAACCCCTAAGTCAGCCCAAGAATCAACTTAGAGGATCTTTTTAATTTACCAATTAAACAAGTATATACACGTACCCTCTATGGCAAGATACTATGATTTTTTAACCTTAAACATTATGTCCTGAGTGGTTCACCAGACCACGTCTGTCTCCTCTGCACATTCCCAATCATTTTACTCATCAGGTTTTTTATGATTACGTATTGAATCATTTATCTTCCCTTCTATTCTATATGCTGCAGGAGGGCAGGGAACATAACCATTGTTCAACAGAATATCTCAGCAAAATACCATACATACTTGTTTAATGTATTAGGGGTGCCTGGGTGGCTCAGTCAGTTGAGGGGCCAACTCTTGGTTCGGCTCAGGTCATGATCTCAGGGTAAGCCCGAGCCCCACACTGGGCTCTGCACTCAGCAAGGAGTCTGCTTCTCTCCCTCTCCCTCTGCCCCTCCCCTCACTTGCACACGCACTCGCTCTCTCTCTAATAAATAAATAAATATAATCTTTAAAAAAATTTAACTTAATGTACTAATATAAGATACAGCCCCTGTATATCCTTTAAGTGTTTATAGTCTACAAGTCTGATAAAAAATGCAGACCCGGTACAGATTCAACCTCTACATATACAAGGCAATAAAGTTTACACGGTTTTTCTTTCAACTTATTTGTCTCACTGTGTTTTCTCAGTTACAAGAAACACAGCTATTTTGCAGTTAATACTTTCTATTCCCTCTTCCTGGTGCCCAATGCCAAAATACACTTAATTATAGGGATTGCTTTAGATAGGACTATGATATTCTCAGGAAGATTTGCAAATGTCAAGGAACCCATAGGTAAAGCAGCATAGGGTGATGATACCTTCATAAACTTTATTCTGCTAGAGAATCACCATAGGAACATAGTACTTTGGAGAAGATTGGGGGTAGCATGGGGAAAAAGGAGGAGGAAACATATAAAATGATTACCCTTGATTCTTTCTTTTTTTTCTACACATATAGTTTTTTAGTATAGTATTTTTTATATTATACATCTATTTCCTGCCTTGTAAACAACTTATGTGATTTTGTCCTTAGATGCTTTACTAAAATGCACATTTCTATGACTTTCAAGTGTTTTGTCCTATGGATATACCATTACCTATACTATTCACTCTTTATTGTTGGACATCAGAATTTTTACTCTTAAGAAATTAATCAGAGGGTCGCCAGGGTGGCTCAGTCGGTTAAGCGTCTGCCTTCCACTTGGTCATGAGCCCAGGGTTCTGGGATCCAGCCCTGAATCAGGCTCCCTGCTCAGCGGGGAGCCTGCTTCTCTTTCTCCCTCTGCCTGCCTCTCTGCCTACTTGTGCTTTCTCTCTCTTGTCAAATAAATGGATGAAATCTTGAAAAAAAGAAAGAAAGAAAGAAAGAAAAAAAGAAAGACAGAAAAGGAACAAGAAAGAAAAAAATTAATCATAAAGAACTGCCTTTTCAAATTACTGTGCTCTGATCTGATGCAAACGATCCCACCCCACCCCCTTCTACAAATACTACTCCCAGTTCACGTTCTTAAAATCTAGTCTGTTAGTAAGCTTTCTAGCAGATCCTACTGAGCACAATATAAATTCCACACACTCAAGCAAATAAATGGCTGTATTCATGACTGATGTATGCAATTGATAACAATGTCGCTTTTTTGACTACAGAGTCTTTTTAAAATTTAACTTTTAGGGGCGCCTGGTTTGCTCAGTCGGTTGTGTCTGCCTCCGCTCAGGTAATGATCCCAGAGTCCTGTGATAGAGCCCCGCATCGGGCTCCCTGCTCGGCAGAAAGCCTGCTTCTCCCTCTCCCACTCCTCCTGTTTGTGTTCCCTCTCTCTGTCAAATAAATAAATAAAATCTTTAAAAAATTTTAACTTTTATTTGTAGTAATGTTTATATTGTTTAAAATGTAAAATAATTCTGAGGATTATAACAAAAAACTGTTGTCCTCTGCCTTTCCTCTCTTCATAGGCAACCAGTTTCAATTCTTTTAAGTGTTTCTTCCAAAATTTATCTCCATATTTCTTAATTTCATGCTTACACTGCTATTTTCAGTTTTCGATAGTACAGTCTGACATCTTTCCTCTTGCAGACACCGGTCCTAGCTTCAATCTGCACCTGGGCCTACTTACAGATTCAATTTAATTCATGAAGACAGACGATACATTGACCTAACTCTTCCTTCTAGGAATTAATACTTTTCTCTCCAGGGGTCAGTGACTGCCATAATCTTGCTAAACATCCCCCACAGCACCTAAAAGTGTACGGATTTTGCCAACAGAGACGATCCTCTCCCTAACTCACGTCCCCGCTACTGCAAGACTGACTTTCTTACCCTTAGAGAAATACAGAAAGTGCATCCTCTGCAGGGGAAGGTCTTAAAACAGCCGTGAGGGGTTTGTTTTCCACCCAACTGTAGTGCACAGAGGAGCACTTAATTCGACTTTGAGGCCGGGCGGAGCCTGCCGCTGTAGGAAGAGGAGACAGCCATAAACCCGCAGACTTGGTTGTAGGGTGAATTTCCCCGCAGGAGGGCCGTATCCGCAAGTACCTGAAGTGGAGGTGGAGACGGAGCTCCCCAATGCAGCTCGCAAGACTGCGCGGGTGATCCAGGTCCGGACCGGAGCCCAGGGAGTCGTTCCCACAGCAACATCCCTGGCGTACGTCACGGCGCGTGCGCCGCTCCTCGCCCCGCCCCTGACCCGACGGCGAGGGGCGGGGCGGCGAGGGAACCAATGAGGCGGCTAGGGTTGACACTTCCCGCAACGCCGGAAGCTTCGGGGGTACTAGAGCTGCGGGGAGCCAGGGAACGGTGGGACTGCAGGCGCACGTACTGTCTTCCGTCAAGGTCACTAACTCCGTGGCAGCACGCTCTACGAGCGGCATAGGCGTGCGCAGTCTTCTCAGTTCGCATTTCGTCCCAGCGCGCTCCTCTGTAGGGCGCGTTCTCCAGCGTCCTGGCTGCCAGGGCCGTGGGCGTCCGGGCGGTGGCCTGGCTGCTCCTCTGGGAGGCGGCTGGACTCACCAGCACACCAGGCACGGACTTCGCCGCCGCCCCCAACTACGCTGGTAAAGGGAGGGGCGGGGCTGCGAGGGTGGGGGGCAGTCCGGACTTTTCCGCTCTCCGAGCTTTGCAAGGTTTGGTACTTCTCCGGACCTCGGTGCGCGGACGTAGAACCTGCTGGGTGACCTGGGGGAGGTTAAAAGCAGAGGCCACGTGCTTCCCACCCTTCCCACCCTACAGGCACTGCTCAGAGGCTTCTCTTGGGTCTCTGGAGAGTATGGCTTTGTCGTTCAGAGGTAGTATTGGCCGTACTATTACTAAAATATCGTGAGTGAAGTACGGCGGTCAAGTGTCTTGGGATGCATGAAGCTTGGGACCCCCGAGGGGACCAGCAAGGCCACAGTGCCCTGTGGGGTGTGAGAATTCCAGTCCAGAATAGAGAGACTGACGGGGTAATGGCGTGGGAAGGGGAGGACAACTAGTTTTGCTTTACAAACTTTTTGTAATAGACTGGATTGGGCTGGAGCTTCTCTTATGACTACCGGCTGGGCAAGCGAGTTGATTCATTTCTTTGGGCCCGAGTTGATGGGCCGCAGTGCTGTGCTAGGTGCTGTGGATCCAGCGCTGAGCTAAATACGGCCCCAACCCTCGTGGAGCTTGCAGAGTAGTGGGGAAGTGCCGTAGTAATTACAATAAGGAAAGTCAGTACAAATTAGGTAAGTTCCTCCATCTGTAAAGTGAGGATATTAGGCTATGTCAGTCACAGCTTTTGTGTCTTCACATACTAGGTTTCCAAATTTATTTGAAGTATTAAGCCAAAATGAATTTTTAAACAACTGGATTTGGTGATCTCTAAAGACTCTTCCAGCCCTGGTATTTTATGATTAAAAAGAGGTCAATTTCCAGAGCCAGTTCAGGCCAGAGTAATCAAAGTAATATTTAAGAGGAAGAATCTTGAAGGTCATTCAGATGCAACATTCATTTTGAAAATGGTAGTTTTGTTTTAAAAATCATAAACAATCTATTTGCTATACTGTTTGTAAATTACTTTCTACCATCCCAAGATGAATGTGATTCTGTAGTGTATATCCCAATAGAATTTAAGCCTATTAATCTGACCTTTTTTTCCTAATTTAACTCATAGGTAGATATAAATCCTTACTCTCCACCCCTATTAAAATTAAACATAATGAAACATCTAGATTTGTAAAAAAAGATACTCAAAGTTATTTTTTGGAAATGATTATATATGCTTCTCTGAAGCAAATAAGGATTTTTTTAAATAGATAGGAAAGTGGAAATATCTTAGGCTTTAAAACTCTGGCAAATCTTGCTTCTAATCAGTAACTTACTTAGTGGTATGGCCTAGAACCAGTTAGAAGTGTTTATTAATCAGAGTTTCCTCCTGTGTGCAAATGGCAGTAATTTTGCCTGCCTATTTTGCTAGGTTGTGAAAGTTAAAACATGTGAAAGCCCCAAGTAGAGGATTTGTCATGTGGATATCATTTAATAAATATTATTTTTCCATACTTTTTTCCTTCCCTTGTATATTTCAGTGTTTTCATTTTCATATTTTTTCATGCATCTTTTCAGGAATAAATCTAATAGACTTAGCAATACACAATAACATATGGTTTTCTTTGTGTTTGCTCTAATGTTCTTTCCATTGCACTTCCAGCTTTTGAAAATGGAGTAAAGTTCCATAGCAAGGTACCTGGCAGAGTTGATGGTCATCAGTAACTGAATTATTTATTTATTTATATTTTTTTTAGTTAGAGAAAATCTTAGGCAGGCTCCACACCCAGCACAGAGCCTGAGATCATGACCTGATCCAAAATCGAGAGTCACATGTTTAACTGACTGAGCCACCCAGGTGCCCCTGAATTTTTAATTTTATAATGCTGACATCGAGTAATAGTTTTAATATCTGACTTCTGCATCGTGTCAGTACAGTGAGATTTGGGGTTATTCTAAGTTAATAAAGGAACCCTTTGAATCTTTCACAAGCCTCAGGTTTTTGTTTCTGTTTTAAACCTTCCCAACAGCTCCACAAGGTATAATTGTACCATCTTCTCAGTTTTGTAGGTGTGGGTGGTAGAATACAAAAGTTGGCAGTAGGTATCTGAAACATGGTTTCAGTGAACCAGGATTAAAACTTGAGTTTTCCTGGCTCTTTAGCCATTCTGTTCCTTTTGGTGTCCTGGGATCATCTGAATAAAATAGTATTAATGACAAACACTTACATAGAGCTCTTACTATGTGGTAAGCCGTGTTCTACGTGCTTCTACATGTATTAAATTCTCATGACAAATAGCAGAGAGATAAACTATCTTGTCCAAAGTCACATAGCTTTAAGGGACAGACTCGGATTTGAAACTAGGCAGTTTAACTCCAAAGTCAATGTTCTTAATGCCTATGCTATATTAGAAGTAGCTTTTTAGATAGCTCAAATTGTTTAAGTTTTAAAAGCTTTTGTTTTGTTTATAGGTTGGTTAGATTTTCCAGGCAAGTAAAGCCTATTCAAACAATTTTCTAATTATTTAAATATTCTTTCATTGAGTGCTTATTTTATTTTAAGAAATCTTCTGGTTCTTATAGGCATAAGGGCCACTTGTTCAGAAATTATTTTGAGGCAAGAAGTTTTGAAAGATGGTTTCCATAGGTAAGTTGCCCACTGACTTTTACTTATGTCAAAATACTGTTTCGTATAATTTAGAGCAAAAAATCAATAGCTGGAAAATGGATAAACTGAAAATCTCTTACTTTCTTACAAGTTATAAGTGACAGATTTATCATCTGTGGTACAAGGTTGAAATAATGATCAAAATAACAGTAGAGGGGTGCCTGGGTGGCTCAGTAGGTTAAGTGTCTGCCTTTGGCTCTGGTCATGATCTCACGGTCCTGGGATGGAGTCCTGTGTCGGGCTCCCTACTCAGCCAGGAGTCTGCTTCTCCCTCCACTTGCCACTCTCCCTGCTTGCACACACACTCTCTCTCTCTGTCAAATAAATTATTAAAAATAAATAAATAAAATAACAGTAGAGAAGAGGAGAAAACAAATGTGTATTATTTACCATGCATGTGTATTTTTTTTAAAGATTTTATTTATTTTTGAGAGAGAGAGTGTGTGTGCATGAGCACAAGTGGCGGGAGTGGGGGGGCAGAGGGAGAAGCAGACTCCCTGCTGAGCAGGGAGCCCAGTGTGGGACTCGATCCCAGGACCCCAGGATCATGGCCTGAGCTGAAGGCAGGCACTTAACCGACTGAGCCACCCAGGTGCCTGCATGTGTATTTTTAATATATATAACATACATATAGCCAGATTTACTTAATCTTCACAATGGTTGTGAGATAGACGATACCTTTCTTGTTTTTCACTTAATCTTAGCCAGAAGGCCAAAAAGTGATTCCCTTTTTCCTTTTCAGTTGAGAGAAGTAGGGTTCAGAGAATTTAAATAATTTAGTAGAAGTTAGGGTGGTAGGGCTCTAACTCAAATTTATGACTATCATACTCCAAAGCCATGCTCTCATGTACTAAGATATTATATCACCCTAAATCGCTGCTTCTGATTTATAAGACTTGGTTCCAAATGACCAAGCTGTTCCCAAAATAGAAATTATTCTTGGGCAACCCTCTCAGGTCCCCTTCCTCTTTGGGAGCTTTGTATTCTATCATTCAATAAACTTTACTATCGCTCAATAAACCTTGCTTTGCTTCCCACTTAAAAAAAATTCTCAAAAATGAATATTTGCTAGTATTGAAGATATTTACAAGACTAATAAAAAGTTGTAGAAACTGTTCTGTAAGAAAAGTTCCCAAACTTTAAAGCTTTTCAAGGTAATTAATTTGAAATGATTCTGATATTTGATGTACAAAATCTGATACATTTGTTTTTTAAAATTGCTGCATTTTATAAGTCACCTTAAACTGAGACATCTCACTCTCACTCTCTTTAAAGTTAGCTTACATGTGAATGGCTAGGAGGTATAGTAGAAAAAACTTGGGGTTTGTTTTGTTTTGTTTTTTAACTCAGACAGATTTGGGCTCAGTGTAGCTCTGTTATTTAGTAACTCTCGGCCTTAGTCAAGCTTACTTAAATCTTTGCCACCTTACCAGTAAAATTAGATAATGATAGTATTTCCTCATTAGGTTCACGAGGATTAAATCTGAGAACATATGGGAAGTCTTTTAATGTAGTGCTTGTCACATAGTACATCCCCAGGAAATGCTAGCTCTTATTACAAACAATGAGATAGATGATCAGGTTGGGCAATACAGTTTCAGTGAAAGAGGAGATGTGACTATAAAGTAATAAAACTGATTTTGGGAGGGAAGTCACTTCTAAAAGGAGTTTTTGACCGAGTTTTAGACAAATTTTAAGCAATGTCAGGGTAGTTATGCCAAGGTTATAGCTTCTTTTTTTTTTAAGATTTATTTGAGAGAGAGCATGTGTGCAAGCGGGGGGAGGGGCAGAGGCAGAGGGAGAGAGAATCACAAGCAGACTTCCCATTGAGCGCCATCCCAGGACCCTGGGATCGTGACCTGAGCAGAAATCAGAGTCTGATGCCCAACCCACTGAACCACCCAGCACCCATGCCAAGGTTATAGCTTATGTCTTTAGAGAAATTGGGATGTATTCTCAAGAGAAATAGGAAATACTAAATAATGCAAATTTGATAGTGTAATTATAAATGACTCCAGTGAGGAAGAAAGAAGTTCCTGAAGAGGCTATTGTGACAGCAAAAGTAGCTGTCCAGTTAGAAGCACTGAAGGTAAAAACCAGGACGTTAAAACCAAGGATGAAGAGTGACAGAACCCGTAAGAATAGAGTCAGAAACTAGAAATCTCGGAGTTATTTGAGACCTTCCGAAAAATGCCAGTAACCATTTTTTAAAAAGGCTTTTTAGTTATGTTTAGAGTAGGTGTAGTCTTGCTGCTAGGGTAGAGGAAGAAACATTAACAGATTATGAAAAGTAGCATTTGTTAGCTTTTCTTATTTCTGTCTTCTTGGTCAAGAAGAATTACTTCCACCCTGGAGAGGGTCAAGCAAATATTGGTAGGAGGAAACTGAAGTGCAGAATATGTAAGGGAATTATATAAAAGGACCTTACTATTATGAATGAGTTTAGGGTCTCCCTTCTGTGATGATCTATAGTTCAGTGCAGTAGAAGAATTTGCTTAAATGATTGCTGAACTTGTTTGTAATCTTTGGATAATCTGGGGGTTAGTTAGTTGATGTAGCTTCTGGGCAAAATTCTAGCCCAGATTGTTAGAAGGATGGTTTGTGAACACAAAAGAGGCAGTGGTAGTCTCATTTACGACAGATTTTTGTCCTATAGATCCACTAGATAGGTAGATCAAAGAAATGCTGTAGATGTAGTGTATCTGATCTTCTGCAAGACTTTTTATGAAGTTTTAACATGTTGTATTTGTGAACAAGACAAAGAATGTGAACTGAAAGATAAAACAGTTGAATGACTTCATAAAGGTTAACAGAGTTATCCAACATGTTCTGATTAATAGATTGAATGTCATCTTGGAGGGAGGTCCTGAATAGTCTCTGTCTTTTTAAGTATATATATTTTTTCTAATTATAAAATAGAACATGTTCATAAATATATATGCATTATCTGGAAGAAAAGATATTATAGGTATATTCTCCTTTTATAGAGGAAGAGTGATATAGTGGCTAAGAATGTGGGCATTAGAGTAAAACTTAGGGTTTGAATCCTGGCCCTTGGATAAGTTAGTTTCTCAGTGCTTCGATTTTCTTTTTCTCTCTCTCTTTCTTTCTTTCTCTCTTTCTTTCTTTCTCTTTCTCTTTCTTTCTTTCTTTCTTTCTTTTTTTCTTTTCTTTCTTTTCTTTCTTTTTTTCAAGGAGGGAAAATATTTTTGTTTCCTCATATCCTTTTGGATTTAATTTAATTTAAATCCTTTTGGATTTAATTGATTTGCATATTCTATCCTTAACTTTTACATCACTAGAAATATTTTTGATGAAAATAGAATATAACAATGCCACAAATATTATTCAAAATTCTTTCAATGAATACAAATTATTAGGAAAATCAAATGCTATATGTAAAATTACCTCAGGCTACTTGGAAGAATATAAGCAAAAAAAAATCCAAAACAACTCTTTCTCTATATAGCTGCTCTTAATAGTCAATTCTTGAAATTGCTGCTGTGTTCTAGGAGCAATGAATCCATAAAAATTTATTGATTGTCTGAGAACCAAAACCTAATATCATACATTTATATAAAGTCTCAAAGCATTTCCCCATACCTTTTGAGTCAGAAGTAACAATTTTTCTATAAAGACTGTAACATGGGTGTTTTAAACTTGGTGCTTTGTTTTCTTACAGGTAAAACAGGAATTATTATAGTACTATTTCATAGTGATTTTTTAAAGATTTATTTATTTATTTTTGGGGGGAGGGGTAAGGGAGAGGGAGAGAGAGAGAATCTCAAGCAGACTCTGTGCTGAGCATGGGGCCTAAGGACCCCGAGATCATGACCTGAGCCGAAACCAAGAGTCGGTCTTAACCGACTGCTCCACCCAGGCACCCCTCATAGTGATTTTTTAATCAACTTCATTGAGTTTTGACAATTCTATATACCCATGTAACCACCACCCCAATCAAAATATAGAGTATTTTCATCATCTCCAAAAATACCCATGTGCTGCTGCTTCAAATTACTCTCCCTCACCCATACCCAGACCCAGCTAACCACTGATCGATTTTCTTTAACTATATAGATTTTCTAGAATTTTATGTAAATGAAACCATACAGTATATCTTTTTGATATCTCGGTTCTTTCACTCAGCATTATATCAGTGAGATTTATCCATGTTCTGCATGGCAGTAATTTGTTCCTTTTTGTTGCTGAGTACTAAAATTTGTTTATCCATTCACATTTTTATGGCATTGGGGTCATTTCTAATTTGGGGCTATGATAAATAAAGCTATAATGAACATCTGTGTACAAGTCTTTATATGAACATGTTTTCATTTCTGTTGGGTTGCTGGGTATATGGTAGGTGTATGTTGAACTTAAGAAACTGCACAAAACTGTTTTTCAAAGTGGTTATACTGTTTTACATTCCTATGAGCAGTAAATTAGAGTTCTGTCCCTGCCACATCGTTGCCAACACTTGGTATGGTCAGTCTTTTTAATTTTAGAGATTCTGGTCGGTGTGTTGTGGTAACACATTGTGGTTTTAATGGGTATTTCCCTGATGACTAATGGTGTTGAGCATCTTTTCATGTGCTTTTTGGCCACTGGTGTATCTTCCTTTGTGAAGCGTCTGCTTAAATCTTGTCCGCTTTTATTTAGTTATTTAATTGATTTATTTATTTTTAAGATTTTATTTGACAGAGAGAGAGAGAGAGAGTGTGCACAAGCAGGGGGAGTGGCAGAGGGAGAGGGAGAAGCAGGCTCCTCGCTGAGCAGGGAGCCTGACACTGGGCTGGATCCCAGGACCCTGGGATTGTAACCTGAGCCAAAGGTAGATGCCCAATCAAATGAGCCCCCCAGGTGCCCCAAATCTTGTCCATTTTTAAACTGAGTGGTTTGTCATCTTATTATTGGGTTGTAAGAATTCTAATTTTTAATTTATCAATTTTTTCTTTTATAGTTAGTGGTTTTGGTTCTGTAAG